ACCTACTGGCTTTGCCACCTACCTATCTCTCAACTCCCTTTCTCTACTCACACTGCTCTCATTCTAGTCCTTTCTACTGTCAGCTTTCCCCCTGGAAAATACTCTGCTGCTGCTCTCCGCTTGCACTCTTTACTCCTCCAGACACAGAGGAAAGGCTGCTGAATTACAATGTAAACCAACTAATCTCTTGGTAACTGACAAGCCTGAGTTGAATTTCCTAAGTCCTTAACCTCTGATCTCTGACTTTGGCATTCTAGGTCCCAGCCTTGTTGGGACTTTGGCTACTTGGAGAGGCAGTCTTGGGTCCTACCCAGGCGGCTCTGCAAAGGTGATTTTCCTGGTTACACTGCTCTCTGCACGTCCTTCCCCAACTAATACCAACTAATTCTTGCTTAGCTGGTACCGGCTAATTCTTCAGAATTCAGTTCAAATCTAGATAAAATGTCACTTCCTCAGGGAATTGGTAATGTGTGTCTCCCTCCCCATACGCACCATGAAGGCAAAGTGCATGTCTATTTTATTCATTGCTTTATAGGTAGCATTTTGTAGGAATAGAGAATATTTGCTGGCTAAATCAGTGCATGAATCAAGGTGAATGAACGTGGTTAACGATCGTATGGGAGGGGGCTAGAGAGTCAGGGCAGGGTCTTTAAATCTATATTCACATCAAGTGATGTCATAGATTAAAACATAGGACTGCACTCATTTGCAGCTTTATGTAAATCATGCTACGAAAATGTGTTCCTCATGAAGAACAATGTTGAGAATCATCAATTTAGATCATAAATAAATGCACTTATGAATCTATATTCCTAGAGCTGTCAGAATAGCAAAATGCTTAGTGCTAGAAACCAGGTTTTGTACTTGGTATTGACATTGCACAGCATAATTTCTGACTCATCATTAAGTAAATTTCTAAATGTTTATTAACTGAATGAATACATAAGTCTCAAAGGAAAATAATGTGTACCTTTCATCACACATGCTACTTTCTGCTCTATATAAGGCTTAATCATGCTTAACTTTGATCTGCTGTTGTCTCTTCTAATGTCTTTGGGATGATAACTTCATATTTTAGAAAGAGAAGCCCTTAGTGGATAATTAGCAGCAATCAAAAGGAGCTTGAACATGCCGTAAAGGTAGTTTCTGTCAAGAATAATTTTCTTTGTAGGAAATCGATGCTGTGAGACAGGCTGAAGCCACATGCCCAGCACAGAGGTGTTCTGAGAACCATCTCCCCGGGCCATTTTCTCTCCAGCCATCTCCCGGACCAGCAATGCCCAGTACCTTCTGCGGACCGTCCTGCCACAGGGGTCTGATTATGCTACGAGCTAGAGAGCTTCTCACAACTGAACTTCTAAATTTCTCACAATGAATTGAGGTTTACAATCAGGCCTGTTTTTTTTTGGTTGTTGTTGTTGTCCCCCCCCCCCCCGCCTTTTAACCCAAATCGGCATCATTGGTGAGAGACAACACCAACAATAATTTCACATGGAGAAATAATATGATCATTTTAGTCTGACTTTAAGAAATATCAATCTCACCTTTAGGGGATTCTGCAAAATCAAGGAGATCTTAAAAAAGAACACTTAGATGGTGGAGCCAATCAACACCTCAGTTCTAAATGGTACAGATTTGGTGATCTATACAGAGATGTAGAGGCCTTTCAAGAATTTTCCAGGGAATTTTGACCAATTGAAGCGTGTCCATAGGCCCTGAAATGGCAACCCTTAGAAGTTCCTTAAATACGGAGATGAAGGCACATGTCCTTAAGGGGAAGAAATCTAATAATGAGACAATAGTGTTAACACAAGCAGACACTTAAAGTTGCTAGTTCAACTAAAAAGCTTTGCCTGGGGAATAATTCAGAGTTTACCTCTGTGTGATAGGACACCTAATTGAAACAATACTTTCAACTTTAGAAATCTTCAGATACTAAGTATTTATTAGAAAGCTATAAAATATGAACAGTAAAGGGTATAACAAAGACCAGGATGTACCCACGTATGTAGCTATTCTGAGGAATAAAAAAGGTTACATTTATCAATTTCTCTAGAATTTGGATCAATGATTTTAGATATTTTTTTTATCAAGGTATTCCTTTTTTCTAATAATCAGTATTAAGGACCATGGGTTATGCATTAATTTGGATTTAGTATTAATTGAGCTAGAAAAGTTTAAACAAATCTCTCCTAGTTAACTTATATTCATGTATAAGTATAATAACTAAGTTCTAGTCTATCAAATTAATGGGCTCAACTAACAATATTCTAAGCCACCTGGATGGAAGTATTCATGTAATTGCCCGTCTCTGTTCTTTAATCATAATTGAACTTTTTTTTTTTTTTAATTTTAAAATGGGCTCCATGTGGGGCATGGAGGTGGGGCTTGAACTCATGACCTTGAGATCAACACCTGAGCTGACTTTTACACAGACTCAGTGCAGGGTCTGCAAGGCTATATTCAGATCAAGTGGGTGTAGATCAAAACATGTGACTGGACTCAGTTGAGTTATCCAGGAGCCCCCAAACTTTCTTTTAACTAAATGCTCCCATTTTTACAAAAATGGTATTTATGGGTCTCTTCCAGGCTAGGTTAAATTTTAGGATATGCTGCCAACGTCAGAGTAGTTTGTGTACATCACAGTACAGGCTTCCTGCCCAGGAAGTTTTCCATAATCGATATGCAGTAATTATCTATGAATCAAGCAATTTATCAAATGCACTAGGATGCACTTCTAATGACTACTCTACCAAGAATATCATTCATTTTTATAGCCCTTTATAATTTACTAAGTATTTCTCCATATGGCTATCAATTACATCACAGAAATACCATTTTAAAGGTAAGATAAGGTAAAATACCATTTTAAAGGTAACACTGAGAGCCAGCGTTCACTCATGGCCGAGATCACTTGGTTGGAAATGACAGAGGCTTCTGGCCCACCTCCAGGATCACATTTTTCATACCGATTCTCTTCGAATGAGAAGTATCCTCACCCTTCCTATCTAGTAACTGATCTGAACTTCAGTGCATTTATTTTCCTTGTTCCCTTTGATTGAAACATGTGCAAGGGAGCCCACAAATGACCAGAATACATGAGATGCATGCGCAGCTAACTCTATGAATCCAGTGGGACACCGAGAAGGGTAGAGCCAATTCACGTTGTTTTCCCATCACCACCCACTTTCAAGCCTGTGACTGGACTCAACTTTGGGCAAATAGGAGTTATACGAAAACTTTCATTATAAGAATCTAAAATTTGGTAGGAAGCAGAAATAGGCCAAAGAATGCTTTAGGTTTAAAGACCTCTGACTTAATAGCTGTAAAAGCATTCAGATGGTTGCTCATATAAGTTTTAGATGAATTTTGAATATTACCACCAGTTATATACACAAAATGTATCTAATGTGATATAGATATATATATATATCTATAAATATATATATCTATATATTTATCTATATCTATATATCTATATCTATAAATATATAGATATAGATAAATATATAGATATATATATATCTATATCTATATATTTGAAATGACCCATGGCAACTTAATCTTTTTTTTTTTTTTTTGCAACTTAATCTTTCTTGAATACATATACCTAAGGGGGGAAAAACACACTAACATCAATTATAAATAGGAGTTTTATATGGCACATGTTCCTCTAGGGATAAAGTCCAATAATAACAAAGGGTGTCTTATAATTTTTTTCTTATAATTTTTAAACTGGTAAGGATCTTAAATGGCCCCCTCTTCCATCTCAGTAGGATTAGTACTAATACCAGAAACTAAAGTCTAACCTTAGCATTGACTTTCATCTACTGGAGAAAACCAGAAAATTGATATCTATCACCCACAGCACAGGCAATCCCCAGACTGCATGGACTTTGGTGTTAGAACGGCTCATGCAATGATCTAAGAAAATCACTGAAAGGCTTGCTACCATGTGACCTCAGGATGTACATCTGTGCCCCTCCAAACAGCAGAAGAAATGAAAGCAAATATATAGAGAAGAAACTGACTATATTTAGATGGCTTTAAAGTAACAGAATTTTATCAGTCCAAATAAACTATAGTACTTTAATTCTAGACCCAACTTTTAATCTTCCTAGATTCTCAAGACAAAATCACTTTTATTATTATTGTTGTTGTTGTTGTTGTTGTTGTTTTTGCTTTTGAGGTTACTGCAAAACCGACCAAGTTCTGCCCCTGAACTATCTACTTACTGACAAATTTTTGTCAGCTTAATCCTTCAGGTGTCTTGTATGATATCAATACTGAATTGCTTTTCCTTAAATTAGTTCATTGGAAAAAGGAGGGCAGGATTTTGAAGATTACCGTTTTTTAGAAATAACCTAAAATTTTTTCCAGCAAAAGCCAATCTCAAAGAATTTCAAATTTTTGTCAAAAAGATTAAAGCTTGGTTTCAAAGTAAGCAAACTTTGAAGCCAAGCTTTCAAAGTAAGTGATATTAGGAGATCAAATTGATTTGTTATACAACTCATGGGATACCTACTATCTCATATCATTCTAATAACTTCATGCCACTGCAGTTCAAGGTAAAGGAACAATATATTTGCACTGGGAAGTATTTCCAGCCTTATTATGTTCCATACAATTTCACAAACAACTAGTGAACACAACCGCCACCCTTCATTCAGAAAGTATTTTCAATGGGAGAAATACTGTGTTTGGATTCAATGACCTATATAGGATTTAAACTTACCATTTTCCCTCACTGAGATGATCTTCCTCCCAAAATTATCATTTCATATTCAAGAAGAGACATACTAAGCAAGCATACTATTTAATCGTGACCTTGAAATTTGTTTTTTTGTTTTGTTTTGTTTTTCTTCCTTAAGCAATTAGTTTCTTCCTGTCAGAGTGTTGGGCTTTTGAAGTTCAACAAAATATATCTTATTTTTAGTCAAAATCATTTTTTTAAAAATCAAGACTAAAGCCAAAGGGAAAAAAAAATAACTCTCACTTACTTTGCTTTGGCTTCTGCATCTTCGTATGCTTTATTGGAGACATCATCCAGTCCTCCAATCAAATGCTTGAAAGAGCTGTTGGGAAAAACAGAGTGGTCAGGGTAAATCCCCTGCAGAGTCCTTACAATGACAACCTAGTCAATGGTATATTGAAATAATCCTAAAGGAACTAAATAAAAATGAATTCAAACATTCAATCTAGATACATTGTTAAGAAACACATCAGATAATGATATAACCTCTGAAAGCAGTGACCTCTCCCATCTGCTCACCTCTCTATTTCCCAACACCTTAGAACTATATCCGGAAAAAGCAGATATTCAAAGAATGGGTGGAAGAAAGTCTGTGACACACAAAATGATATACACCACAAAGGTGATGGGTCAATTCTACTACGGAAATAACAAGATCCACCAATTATGGAATGCTTACTAAATGCACTATCCTTTTAATGCTCATGAATGCATATTAATTCCAATTCTCCAACACATTGTAGAAGATAAGCATCACTAGCTCCACTTAACAAAATTGTATATTAATCTTCCAAGGCAAAATACATATGCAGAAGATAGGAAAAGAACAGAAGACAATTATAAGGAAGTCAACTCATTTTGGAGGGATCAAAAAACTGACTTCATCATCAACCAGGAACAGTAAGGCAACTGTTTAAACCACTGTATTCAATATCTTGGTATGGACCCAGGACTATGTTCAGACCTACTTTATATAATGAAGTCTCATCTATTATATACCTATAATATAAAATATTATAGGGTCAGCACAAAATGTATACACACAAACATGGAAATCGCCCTTGAAAATTACTGAATGCAACCAGATACAGTAACTCTTGCATGCATGACATTTTGGCAACCACTGAATTGGACTGAACAGGGGAATGAAAGGAAAGTCTATATTCAAAGTGTCACATAATAATCAGGGCTGTCACTTACTCAGTGCTTATATGCTGGGTACTGTTCTATGTGCTTTATATGTAATAACAAGTACTTCTATGGGTACAGAAATCCTGTGAGGCAGTATTACCTTCACTACACAGATGAGGGTAATAAGGCACCAGAGGTTAAGAAACTGACCTCCAGTCATAACAGCCAGGCGGGGTGAGGGCTGATAGGAAGAAGGTCATCATTCTACCCCAGACCCTTAAAACCTACCCTGTGGCTCCTATCCAAATCATGATGCCTTGACACTAACCATCGAATCCCTAGCAATGTCCAGAGTACGGATGGTGAATGGTCAAATGTATAAGAAATTACATTTTAATTTTAAACCTCTATAATTTTAATGCATGAAAATGGCTTTGTGTATTATATCAAGTAACAAAATATGCCTGGTCAGGTGCTTAAACATGGGGTATTTGTTGATATGAAGTTAAATGTTGCTTAACCACTTCAATGCACACTGTTCTTTTTAGCTATTGTTTGTTTGGTTTTGCTTTAAATGTATGAAGAAGAACATAACACTTGCTTGGGGACCCAGCCAACAGGAGGTTGGGGAGCCATTACCTCAGGACCTTGGGTAATAATCTCATCTGGGGGACAGGGTAGCTGGAATGCTGAGCTAAAACACAAAGTGTTTCTAATACAAGAAGGGACCAGAAGGAAGTGATGGGAGGCTAGAGAATCAAGCATCACAGAGCGTCAAGTTTTCTGTGACACACTGTGTTAATGGACATCAGATAAATGAAGCCTGCAATTGGCTGATGGTCCTTATACAACTTCCAAAGACATATAATGATAAAATAAATGATAAATAACCCCCATAGTTGATTTTCATGTTCGAATAGGATTTTTGCCATTGTTCTTTCCAATAAATAGAATGTCACCATCATGATTTAGAGATAGGTTTACACTGTAAAGTGAAATACAGTATTTTGCTGTGGAAAAAATATGTGATTGATACCACATCTTCTTTATCCATTCATCTGTCGAAGTACATCTGGGCTCTTTCCATAGTTTGGCTATTGTGGACATTGCTGCTATGAACACCAGGTTGCAGGTGCCCCTTTGGATCACTATATTTGTATATTTAGGGTAAATACCCAGTAGTGCAATTGCTGGGACATAGGGTAGCTCTATTTTTAATGTCTTGAGGAACCTCCATACTGTTTTCCACAGTGGCTGCACCAGTTTGCATTCCCACCAACAGTGTAGGAGGGTTCCCCTTTCTCCGCATGTTTGCCAACACCTGTCGTTTCCTGTCCTTTTTAATTTTACCCAGTCTGACTGGTATAAAGTGGTATTTCATTGTGGTTTCGATTTCTACTTCCCTGATGACAAGTGATGTTGAGCATTTTTTTCATGTGTCTATTAGCCATTTGTATATCTTCTTTGGAGAAATGTCTGTTTATGTCTTCTGCCCATTTCTTGACTAGATTATTTGTTTTTAGGGTATTGAGTTTAATAAGTTCTTTATAGATCTTGGATACCAGCCCTTTATCTGATATGTCATTGGCAAATATCTTCTCCCATTCTGTAGGTTGACTTTTGGCTTTGTTGACTGTTTCCTTTGCTATGCAAGAGTTTTTTAACTTAATGAAGTTCCAAGAATTCATTTTGCTTTTGTTTCCTTGCCTTTGGAGATGTGTCTTGCAAGAAGTTGCTATGGCAGAGGGCAAAGAGGTTGCTACCTGTGTTCTCTAGGATTTTGACGGATTCCTGTCTTACACTTTCTCTTCACTTTCTTTCTGTATGGTTTAAGAATGGTCCAGTTTCATAATTCCGCATGTGGCAGTCTAATATCCTCAGAACCATTTATTGAAGAGACTGTCTTTTTTCCATTGGACATTCTTTCCTGTTTTGTCCAATATTAGTTGACCATATAGTTGAGGGTCCATTTTTGGGCTCTCTATTCTGTTCCATTGATCTATGTGTCTGTTTTTGTGCCAGTACCATGCTGTCTTAATGATGACAGCTTTGTAATAGAGCTTGAAGTCAGGCATTGTGATGCCACCAGCTTTGGTTTTCTTTTTCAACATTCCTCTAGCTATTTGGAGTCTTTTCTGGTTCCATACAAATTTTTAGGATGATTTGTTGCAGCTCTGTGTAAAATGTTGATGGTATTTTCACAGGGATAGCACTGAATGTGCAGATTACTCTGGGTAGCATAGATATTTTAACAATATTTATTCTTCTAACCCATGAGCGTGGAATATTTTTCCTTTTTTTTTTTTTTTTTTTGTTTATCTTCCTCAATTACTTTCATTAGTATTCTGTAGTTTTTAGAGCACACATCTTTTACCTGTTTGGTTAGGTTTATTCCTAGGTATCTTACAGTTTTGGGTGCAATTGTAAATGGGATTGATTCCTTAATTTCTCTTTCTTCTGTCTCATTGTTAGTGTAAAGAAATGCAATGGATTTCTATGCACTGACTTTTATATCCTGCCATGTTGCTGAATTCCTGTATGAGTTGTAGTAATTTTGGGGTGGGGTCTTTTGGATTTTCCACATAAAGTATCATGTCGTCTGTGAAGAGTAAGAGTTGACTTCTTCATTGCCAGTTGAATGTCTTACAAACTTGTTCCATGAGGCCAGCATTACCTTGATCCCAAAACCAGACAAAGACCCCATCAAAAAGGAGAACTACAGAACAATATCCCTGATGAACATGGATGCCAAAATTCTCACCAAGATTTTAGTCAATAGGATCCAACAGTACATTGAAAGGATGATTCACCAGGACCAAGTGGGATTTATTCCTGGGCTGCAAGGGTGGTTCAACAGTCACAAATCAATCAACCTGAAACATCACATTAATAAAAGAAAGAACAAGAACCATACGATACTCTCAATAGATGCTGAAAAAGCATCTGACAAAGTACAGCATACTTTCTTGATCAAAACTCTTCACGGTGTAGGGATAGAGGGTATATACCTCAATATCATCAAAGCCATCTATGAAAAACCCACAGTGAATATCATTCTCAATGGGGCAAAACCGAGAGCTTCTCCCCTAAGATCAGAACAAGACAGAGAGGCCCACTCTCAACACCGTTTGTTCAATAGAGTACTAGAAGTCCTAGCCTCAGCAATCAGACAACAGAAAGAAAGAAAAGAGTTTGAAATTCCTATTCGCAGAGTATACAAATGTAAAAACCCTACATCTGGTGAAGATCTACAGAGTTTTACAAGCAAAAACCATCTAATCACAGAAATGAGTTTAAAAGTAAGTTGAGCCTGATTGGAAGAAAAAAACACATTTAGACTGATTATGACCATTTTACATCCATTTTTGTTAAAGCCTGGTCATAGCCAATGATAAGTATCACATTTAAAAAGAGTGAACAAAAGAAGTATTTCAAGTGTGATTTTTTCATATGTTTTCTTCAGTGTCCTTGATTTAAAATATGAATTCATGTGGTCCTAATGATTCAATATTTCTAAATTTTTTTTACACTACTGGATTGAAAAAATGAAGGGAGTAATATCAACTTTCAAAAGGCCCTTATCTTGATATAATAGGGACTTATTTTTGAAACATATTCCTGCTAATTAAGGAAAATGCTTCTCATCTAAAATGTAATCAATTTATTATTATGGTAAAGGTTTTTTTTAAATTTTATTTTTTATAAACATATATTTTTATCCCCAGGGGTACAGGTCTGTGAATCGCCAGGTTTACATACTTCACAGCACTCACCATAGCACATACCCTCCCCAGTGTCCATAACCCCAGCCCCCCTCTCCCAACCCCCCTCCTCCCATTAACCCTCAGTTTGTTTTGTGAGATTAAGAGTCACTTATGGTTTGTCTCCCTCCCAATCCCATCTTGTTTCATTTACTCTTCTCCTACCCCCTTAACCCCCCATGTTGCATCTCCACTCCCTCATATCAGGGAGATCATATGATAGTTGTCTTTCTCCGATTGACTTATTTCGCTAAGCATGATACCCTCTAGTTCCATCCACATCGTTGCAAATGGCAAGATATCATTTCTTTTGATGGCTGCATAGTATTCCATTGTGTATATATACCACATCTTCTTAATCCATTCATCTGTTGATGGGCATCTAGGTTCTTTCCATAGTTTGGTTATTGTAGACATTGCTGCTATAAAC